GATATTCAGTTTTCCCAACACCATTTTTTTTTAAAGATTTTATTTATTTATTTGTCAGAGAGAGAGAGCACAAGCAGGGAGAGAGGCAGGCAGAGGGAGAAGCAGGCTCCCTGCAGAGCAGGGAGCCCGATGCGGGACTCGATCCCAGGACCCTGGGATCATGACCTGAGCCAAAGGCAGGTGCTTAACCGACTGAGCCACCCAGGTGTCCCTTCCTAACACCATTTTTTGAAGACTATCCTTTCCCCATTGTGTAGCCTGGCACATTTGTCAGAGATCATTTGACTATATACGTGGGGATTTATTCCTGGGTTTTCTAGTCTGTTATATTGGTCTATATGTCTATCTTTATGCCAGAACCATACTGTTTTGATTACTGTAGCTTTATAATATGTTTGAAATCAGGAAGTATGATGCTTCTAGCTTTGTTTTGCTTTGTCAAGATTATTTTGGCTATTCATGGTCCTGTGAGAGTCCATATGAATTTTAAGTTTTTTTTCTGTTTTTTCAGAAAATGGATGATGAAAAAAAGATTGTACTGGGAAAATGTGCCAGTAGGGATTGCATTTAATCTGTAGATTGCTTTCAGTAGTATTGGACATTTAAACAGTATTAAGTCTTCCAATCCATGAACACAGGATATCTTTCTGTTTATTTGTGTCCTGTTCAGTTTCATCTAGCACTGTTTTATCATTTTCTGTGTACAAGTCTTTTATCTTTCTGGTTAAGTTTATCCTAAGTTTATTTTATTCTTTTTGATGCTGTTGTAAATGGGATCATTTTTTTAATTTCCTTTTCAGATTGTTCACTGTTAGTATATAGAAATGCAGGACATATTTGTGTGTTGATTTTTGTATACTATAACTTTGCTGAAATCATTTAGTAGTTCTTAAAGTTTTTTGTGGGTTCTTTAGGGTATCTATATACATGATCATGTTATCTGTGAACAGAGGTAATTTTACTTCTTCCTTCCCTATTTGTATGCCTTTTATTTCTTTTACTTGCCTGATTGCCCTGGCTAGGACTTCCAAATGCTATGTTGAAGAAAGTGGCAAGAGTGGGCATCTTTGCCTTTTCTCCTGATCATAGAAGGCAGCTTTCAGTTGTTTGCCATTGAGTATGTTGGTTGTGCGTTTTTTATATACGGCTTTATTATGTTGAGGTAATTCTTTCTATTCCTAGTTTGTTGAGTGTTTTTTTTTTTTTTTTTTTAATTTTTTATTTATTTATTTGACACCGAGAGAGATAGTGAGAGAGAGAGAGCACAAACAGGGTGAGCAGCAGGCAGAGGGAGAGGGAGAAGCAGGCTCTCCGCTGAGCAGGGAGATGGTGGGGCTCGATCCCAGGACCCTGGGACCATGACCTGAGCCGAAGGCAGACTCTTAATGACTGAGCCACCCAGGTGCCCCTTGTTGAGTGTTTTTATAAAAAGATACTGAATTTTTTTCAAATGCTTTTTCTGCATCAAAAACTTGATTCTGTTAATATGGTGAATTACTTTGATTTGTGTATGTTGAACCATCCTTGCATTCCAGGCATAAATCCCATTTATTCATGATTTTTAATCTTTTTAGTGTGTTACTGAAATTGGTTGCTAGTGTTTTGTTGAGAGTTTTTGCATCAGTATTCATCAGAGATAGTGGTTAGTAGTTTTCTTGTAGTATGTTTGTCTGATTTGGGTATTAATGCTGGTCTCACTGAGTTTGGAAGTGTTCCCCTCTCCTCAGTTTTTTGGAAAAGTTTGAGAATTATTGTTAGTTCTTTAAATATTTGGTGGAATTCTTCAGTGATGCCCTTTGGTCCAGGGCTTTTCTTTATTGGGAGGTTTTTAATTACTGATTTAATCTCCTTACTTGTAATATGTTTATTCTATTCAGATTTTTTTTTCCCCTTTAGGACTCATTTTTGGTTGATTTGTTTCTAGGTATTTTTCCATTTCTTTTAGGTTATCCAATTTGTTGGCATGTAATTGTTCATAGTAGACTCGAATGATCCTTTTTATTTCTGTGGCATCCATTTGTAATATCTTCTCTTTCATTTCTAATATTTGTTGTTTGAGTTTTTTCTTTCTTTCTTAGTCTACCTAAGGGTTTGTAAATTTTGTTGATCTTTTCAACAAACCAGCTCTTAGTACTGCATGGAGCACTGGATGTTATACGAAAACAATGAATCGTGGATCACTACATCAAAAACTAGTGATGTATGGTGACTAACATAATAAAATTAAATTAAAAAAACCCAACTCTTAGTTTGATTAATTTTTTCTATTTTCTATTTTATTTCTGCTCTAATCTTAATTATTTCCTTCTTTCTGCTAACTTTGGGTTTAGGTCTTTTTTCTAGTTCCTTGAGTTGTTAAAAAAAAAAAAAGTCCCTGAGCTGGGTGCTTTTTCCCAACTTTTGGGAGCTGTGTTGACTTCTTTCTGCAGTATTACAAGTTCTGTAGTGCAGTATTACAAGTTCTACAGCATCCCAAGATGCTGAGCTCTCTTGTGTTCTCAGTTGTGTCATGTCTCCCCTGCACCACCAATTAGAGTATGCTTTTCCTAGTCAGTCCTCCAAGTCAGGTGAGACAGAAACCAGTTGCTTTGTAGCCCCCTGAAAAGTAGGAATGTTAGAGATGCATTCTACTTCCCCCTTTCCCTCCCAAGGAAGAAACAGGGCATTGGGCTATTTCTCTTGATCTTTAGCTGTGTCAGCCTAGGGGAGGGGCTGCCTTGGATGAAATGAAATGGCTTTTCTTACCTGTTTCATTGCATTTGAACTTAAGGTACTACAATTTCCTAACTGGTTTCTGGCATTCTCATAAAGAGATTTATTCTCATAGAAGGAAGTAAAAATTCAGATCATATATTGTTAAGTTAGTGTTTCTGTGGGAGGATGAGGTTTAGGGCTTCCTATTCTACCATCTTGCTGATGCTGATGTCCATAGTTTTGGGGGGTGCTTTATTAAGTAGGCATGACTGATTAAATCATTGGCCACTTGGTTGAGCTTAATCTCCAAGCCCCCTTTCCTCCCAGAAGGGTGGGCAGATATCATGTGGCTCAAAACTCCAAACCTCTAATCACAGTGTTTGTCTTTCTATCCTGGCCTGTGGCCTACCTGAGTCATCTCCTTTGTAATACTAGGGGTGCACCATGAGTCACTTCATTAGCATAAACTGTCAGATGTAGTGGAAGGTTTAAAGGTTGTCCAGACACTGGGAACAAAGGCCAGCCAAATTCTTTATTACATACGCATATTGCAATCTAATCACATAATATAAAATTTAAGGGGTATGAAGATGTACAAGGAAGTATAAATCTCCCACCCACCTGTTTCTCAGCCACCCAGTTTTTCTCCATGGAGGCTGGTACTATTTTTTAAGTTGTTTTTTCACTTAAGTAACAGTTAATTCTCTTAAAAAAAGTAATAGGTTATTTTTTTTCCTCTTGGCTATTGCCTTACTTTGAGGATTTGAAGGACTGTTTTGTTCTCCAGGCAGTAATGAATATAATACTATTCCTTTACATTATGTCTTAAAATGAGTTTGTTACTGAAACACTAGTTGCTGGGATAGAAAAGTGAAAATAGTCTTTTGTTTTTGTTTTTGCTTTTTTCCCATGAAAGTCACCCCTCTCCCCGATTAAGAATACTATGTTCACGGGGCGCCTGGGTGGCTCAGTCGTTAAGTGTCTGCCTTCGGCTCAGGTCATGATCTCAGGGTCCTGGGATCGAGCCCCGCATTGGGCTCCCTGCTCCGCGGGAAGCCTGCTTCTCCCTTTCCCACTCCCCCTGCTTGTGTTCCCTCTCTCACTGCCTCTCTCTTTCAAATAAATAAATAAAATCTTTAAAAAAAAAAAAAAAAGAATACTATGTTCACTGTAAAAAAAATTGGGGGGGGTGGAATAGTGACACAAAATAATAAAAGTCTTATCATGTAATGTTTTCCCATCTTTTTTTTTTAGTTTGTGTGATTAGTGAATGGGTACACTTTTAAACATACTTCATGTTAAAAAACCCCACGCAATTGAGAATAGAATCTAGAGTTTTATATCATTTTTTTCCCACGTAACACTACTGAGATAGTTTTCTATATCATTAAATAGTCTTCAGTAATATGGTTTTACCACTTCCTTGTTTTTGCATGTAAAGAGTATTTCCAGTTTTGTGCGTAAATTAACAAATCTATTAGATTATTTTGCTCTAAGGTTTTTTTCTTGATTGATTTTAGATGACTTAAAAGTTAATTATTTACTATTTACATCTTATCTTCTTATATTGTTCATGATAATAGCCAGAACTATTGTTTCAAGGTAGGTAACTTTCTTTTTTACTAACTTGCAGTAGGGCTAGAGCTTATAAAATCTTCAACTTTAATTCATTAGACTTTCCTTTTTAAATATCAGTATCTTTTTTTTTTTTTAAGATTTTATTTATTTATTTGAGAGAGAGAGAATGAGAGACAGAGAGCATGAGAGGAAGGAGGGTCAGAGGGAGAAGCAGACTCCCTGCCGAGCAGGGAGCCGGATGCGGGACTCGATCCCGGGACTCCAGGATCATGACCTGAGCCGAAGGCAGTCACTTAACCAACTGAGCCACCCAGGCGCCCCTAAATATCAGTATCTTTTTTAATGATTTTTAAAAATGTTCTTTAAATAATACTTTAATTGCCCTTCAGTTCTTAAGAAAAGTGCACAGGTTATATTTTATATATATATGTTATATATATATATATATATTATATATATTATATATATTTTATATATGAATGTTTTTCCTTCGCAGGTGAACTATTGTCTTCCTCTACTTTTTTTTACTTCTTTTCCATTATTTCAAATGAATGCTTATAAAGGGGCACTGTGCAGGAGGTATAAGGAGAAATTCTCCAGGAAATTTAAAAATAGGAGTGGGGATTGATAGATGCCTAAGTCTGATAGTGTGCATAAATAGGTTTTAACATTTTATTGAAGGGTCCAAAATAAAATCTGGATGTTTTGTCTGTTTCCCCTCTTGCTAGGGTCCTGTATTAATAGGAAGTTCTCAAGGTGGTGTCAACATTGAAGATGTTGCTGCTGAGACTCCTGAGGCCATAGTTAAAGAACCTATTGATATTGTAGAAGGCATCAAGAAGGAACAAGCTGTCCGGGTATGTTGTATTCTGAAAAATTTCTGTCTAGCTTTATTGGATAATTGTAATACTTAATTAAAAAATGAGAATTAGTGAAGTGATTGACGAAACTTAAAAAAAATTTTGAGTGTCAAGGCATGTTAATATCTTGTTTGAAATGGAAACTTTTAGAAGTATCTACATTATTTCCTTTCTTTCCATAAATATTTCATTACTTGTCTTTAAAAGGTAAGGATTCTTTTAAAATAGGCACTCTATCATTGTTATACCTAGTAAAATTAATAATAATTCCTTAATATCATTACTTACTTACCTAGTCATTCCCATTCCCTTGTCTCAAGTTTTTCTTTTTTTTTCTTTTAAATTTGTTTGAATTGGGATCCATATAAGGTCTTGCATTGCTTTTGGTTATTGTCTCATAGGTCTTTTTCTAATTTAGAGGTTTTCTTTCCCTCACTCTCTTCATCTTCTTTCATTTGTTGTAGACACTGGGGTGATTATACTTTATTGTTTATCATAGTCTGGATTTTACATCCCCATGGTGGCATTTAATATGTTTCAGCCTCCCCTTTATTTCCTGTAAAATTGTATGGAAAGGTAGGGACACTGTCTTATATATCCCTGTGATAGATCAGTGATTTTATTTTTTGAGGGGTTTATGGGTGCTTTTGAGAACCTGATGAAAGCGATGGACTTTTAGTGTCTGCACATACAGAGTAAGTTTTGCCCACAATTTAACTAGTATTCTGTATAGTCCTTTTTGTGTGCTTCTCCCCCCCCCACCCCATTATCCACCCTTCCCACCCCCTGCCAAAAAAAAAAAAAGCCCAACCATGAAGTTTAATACCATGGCCTGTGAGAGTTGCTTGGTAAGGTTGGTAATACTGCTGTTGAATTAAATTGTTTAGTTTGGGTATGAAAAATAAGTGACCCATCTTAAAAGAAAAGTTTGAATATTAAAGTTTGAATGAAATTACCATCTATTAGTGGGAAATTATGTCAAAATAAGCTTATGATATTGAAGTACAATAGAACAGGAATTTTTGACTGGCACAAAGGTTTAAAGGAGATAGAGAAATTACTCTGATAATGTCAGTTAGGCAAAAGAATGGTATAAATCTTTAAATGGGACAGAGGTTCGATTCATTAGGTAGTTATGTAAGAGTGATGACTGGAGGGGTGCCTGGGTGGCTCAGATGGTTAAGCGTCTGTCTTCGGCTCAGGTCATGATCCCAGAGTCCTGGGATCGAGTCCCGCATCTGGCTCCCTGCTCCTTGGGAGCCTGCTTCTCCCTCTGCCTCTCTTTCTCTGTCTCTCATGAATAAATAAATAAAATCTTAAAAAAAAAAAAAAAGTGATGACTGGACGGTTAAATTTAGATGAGAAAGAATACTTGATTTACAAGACTACTTGAAGGCATAATCTACTAAGATTATAGCTTTTTGAGTGATGAACAGAAATAGTACCAAGCATAGCATTTGGTAAATTACTGTCATTCTGGGTTGATCAGAATTCTGTCGTAATTCTCAAATGTTTAGATCTAAAATGGTGGATTATGACCTGGTGAAAATCTTTCTTAATGAAATAAAATTTCATTATTTCTCATTTATTTCTTCTTATTATTTATTTGAAATAAGTTTTTTTTTTTTTTTTTTTTTTAAGATTTTATTTATTTATCTGTCAGAGAGAGAGAGCATACAAGCAGGGGGAGCGGCAGGCAGAGGGAGAAGCAGGCTCCCTGCTAAGCCAGGAGCCCAATGCAGGACTTGATCCCAGGGTCCTGGGATCATGACCTGAGCCGAAGGCAGATGCTTAACAGACTGAGCCACCCAGGTGCCCCTGAAATAACTTTTAATTGAAAATCACATTTCTTAGCTTGATTATCTACTTTATTGGCATTTGATTTTTTACAAAAACCATATTCACCCTTAAAGAATTTAAGATTTTCTGTAAAAATGTATTGCAGCCTTAGACAGCAGTTGGAAAAGAGGTGAATGTCCTCCATCGTGTTTTTGAGCAGTGGCAGCAGTTAGAATAAGCATATAGACATGTAGCTTCTGTACCAGTGGTTCAGAATTGCTTATGGAACTTCAAAAATTGTGGATGGCTTGGTCCACTGTAGAACTTGTGAACTGGAACTGCTGGGTTGGGACCTTGGGATATGTATTTAAAAAATAAATAAATAAATAAAAAATAAAAAGCTCTTCGGTATATCTAGTTAGGAATTTCTGCTCAAGCCTGTAAACTCTTCTATTAGATTGGAAGCTTAAGTACCTATATCTTTTGGGCTTCACTTACATTAGGTACTCCGTAGATTTTTGAATGAATGCAGTTATACTGGTTTGACTGAATGTGTCCTCTGCTTGGTAGACATTCTTCATAAATTACCTAAAAGGTAAAATAAGGTGACTTAATATTTCTGCTATCATTTGGACCATTGGGATTGTCAGTCTGCCTTTTATATGTCATTTTAATAAAATATAAGCCTCTTCTTCCAGTTTAGGTTTGCCATAAGGCTTAGAGGCAGTATGGAGGCTATGGAATAAACACTGGAACTGGAATCTAGGCAAATGGCAAGTCACTTGACCTCTCTGAATTTCTTTCTCATTTATAAAATGGGCATACTACTTGCCTTGTGAGAATTTTGAATAAAAAGTTTTGTTTAACCATTTAGTAATAGTAGCTGCTATTTCAGTCATTCATGTTTGACTACAAATGATTCATGCTTATCATTTTAATGATAAATAATAAGGTTTTTTATTTACAAGAATTTAATGTTGATTGGATAGATGCAACATACCTATACTATAATAAAGACACAAATGAATTTCAGCTTGCACAGAAGATGGGATTTCCACCTAATATTGTGGATTCTGCGGCAGAAAATATGGTCAAGCTTTACAACCTTTTCCTGAAATATGATGCAACTATGGTAGAAATAAATCCAATGGTAGAGGATTCAGATGGAACTGGTAAGGTATCTTTTTTTATCAAACATTAATGATGTATTTACCAATCATGTTTCACTAAGGAAGTTGAACTCATAAAGGAGTGAACTCACTCCTATGTAGAAACTTATTTTATAGTAAATAAAATGAATGTGAACAAATATTAAAGATACCTATTAAAATAAACACTTTATATATTTTTGTACACATGGGGGGGTTAATGCTGCACTGTACAATATGGGGGTTACTAGCCACATGTGGCAATTAAAATTAATTAAAATGATATATGATTAAAATATTCCTCAGTCGAACTAGTCACATTTCAGCTGCTCAGTAGCCACGTGTGGCTATCACATTAGACAGCACACATATAGAATATTGCTATCATTGCAGAAAGTCCTTTTGGGCAGTGCTGAGTAGAGTATCCAGTGTGGTAGTGAGTAATGGCTGTAGTTATGGGAAGTAGCCATTTTAGTCTCCCACAAGTTTCAGACTTTAGAATCATCATGGATCTTTATTATTACAAAGGGTAGACTTTGTTACTTGAGTCCTTTTAATATTTTTATCCACTGGGGAAATAAGATTAGCTTGTCACTTTGACACCTTTTCTTTTGTAAGTGTTTAAAGATTCTGAATTACCACACTTTCCATGTATAGTTATTTTAAAAATATAAGTTGCGTTATTGTAGCGTAAGTTTTTCTTGATTATTTTTTATTTAAATTCAGTCAGCCAACATACAGTACATCATTAGTTTCAGATGTAGTGTTCAATAATTCATCAGTTGCATATACCACCCAATGCTCGTCACATCATGTGCCCTTCTTAATGCCCATCACCCAGTTACCCCTTCTCCCTTTTCTTGATCATATATTAATCACTTTTATTACTGTAATTTATTGGATTTTGTTTCAAGTCACTTTGGACATTGTAACCTCTTAAGCATTTGTAGATCCTCTTTCACTTTTATACTTCTAATTAGTTATATTCTTTATTATACAAATTGATTTTTGGTTGGTCATTTATATGGTTGTATAAAGAATGAGTAAATTCTCTTTTGATCATACAGGTAGTTTATAAAACTAAAAAAAAATTTTTAGAAAGGGTAAAGGCACATTTTAAAAATGAGATGTTCAGTGAAGGAGAATTATTTGTATAAAACAGGTATTTCTTTTTTTTCCTTATGTAATAATAACATTGAAAGCAAGATTCCTGAATTATTTTCAGCTGTGGAATTCTGCAGCCATATTCTCTTGCTAAGAGAATGTCTTTGTTCTCTTAAAAACCATTTTTTCCCTTTGTATTTAGTTTCTCTTCTTTGTATGCATTTCTATATATTTTGAAGGAGTTATTTTTCTTTGCTGATTAAGAGCATTGTATGTTTATTTTAGAAAATTTGCACCAAGGAATATCGATAGGTTGGAAAAAACTCATATAACCTCATTACCTAACACCATTTTAATTTTTTAGTAGTTCATTTCAATCTCTAATTGGGAACATATTGTCTATTCAGTTTGTATCTTTCCTTTTTTAAACTTAAAACTATATAATAGAATATTTTGATGTTAAGTATTTTTCAGATTTTAAATGCTTATATATTATTTGTATATAAATATTTGCAGTCTTGATTCGTATAGATTCTTAGAATTTTGGGGTCAAAGAGGAGTAATATTTTCACATATGTTTGATTATTGGGTCAGGATAATAACATTTTGAGATGTATTTTGCCAGATTGTTGTCTGGAAAAGTTGTTCTAACATACACAGTGTCCATTTCATTGCCTACTTGTGCCAGAAGTGAGTTTTATATTGGGTTTAAACTCTGTCAAACTGATAATCAGGAAATGGTATCTTAATTTATTTTTCAATTCTTTGATTACTTGTGATGTTGAGAATTTTTCATGTTTATTGGGCATATGTTTTCCTCAGTAGACTGCAAATTTTCTCTTGATGTCTTTTGGTAACTGTGTTAGTTTCCTGTGGCTTCTATAACAAATTACTACAAATTAGGTAGCTTAAAACAACAGGTACTTAATGTCTCAGAGTTTTAAAAGCCAGAAGTCCAAAATCAGTGTTACACGAATTCAAGGTGCTCTAGAGGCTCTAGGGAAGCCTCCATTCCTTGCCTTTTGTAACTTCTTACGGCATTCTGTGATTTGTGGCCGCCTTATTCTAGTTTCTGCCTCTCTCTTATAATGATACTTGTGATGTAATTTAGGGCCCTTCAAGATAAGCCAGGATAATCTTCTTCTAAGATCCTTATTTTATTTTATTTTATTATTATTTTTTTAAGATTTTATTTATTTATTAGAGAGAGAGAATGAGAGACACAGAGCATGAGAGGGAGGAGGGTCAGAGGGAGAAGCAGACTCCCCGCCGAGCAGGGAGCCTGATGCGGGACTTGATCCCGGGACTCCAGGATCATGACCTGAGCCGAAGGCAGTCGCTTAACCAACTGAGCCACCCAGACGCCCCTAAGATCCTTATTTTAATCACATCTGTAAAAATTTTAACATACAAGGTAACATTCACAGGTTCTTATGTATTAGGACCTGTTTATCTTTGGGTGGCCATTATTCAGCCTATTACAGTACTCAAAGGAAACTTTTTTTTATCACTTCAGGTATTTTCTCCTGCCCCATTCTCCTTCCTTTATCCTTCCAGTATCACGTTAGGTAACTTCTTGCTGTCTGACAGGTCACTTTTTTTTTCAGATTGGGTAACTTCTGTTTATCTGTCTTCAGGTTCAGGTTCATTGACCCATCTCCAATTAATACATTGTTAAGCACAGCCAGTGAATTTTTCATTTTAGGTATTGTACTTTTTAGTTCTAGATTTTCCATTTGGCTCCTTATGATAGTTTTATTTTCTACTGAGGTACCTATCTGGTCTTTTATTATGGCCATATTTTCATTTAAATCCTTAAACATATTTAAAAGAGCTTTCGGAGTCCTCTGATTCCAAATCTGGGTTGTGTTGGGTTTGGGTCTTCTTGACTGCTTTTTCTCTTTATCGGTGGTCATATTTTCCTGTTTTTCCTTCACTGATCTAGTTGTATACTGGATATTTTGGGAGATACAGTATAGAGACATAATTCTTTTATCTTCCTCTGAAAGAGTGTTGATTTTTTGTTGTTATTAGTAGTTAACTTAGCTGGACTTCAAATTTTGTCTCTTGTGTTGGGTAGCCTTCAGGGATAGCAAGGAGAATGTTGTAGTTAATTGGAATGAAGAAGGGATAAAGCACTGAAAGATGAAGTTGGGAGACGTAACCTTCATATTAGCCATTTTGGTAGAGTGCTGGAGGTAAAACCTGATTAGAGTGGATTTAAGGGAGGATGGTGGGAGGAAAAATTTGTGCAATGAGTTTAGGCAAAGTGGTTGGCAGATGTAAATATTTTAGGTTTTGTGGCCCACATATGGTCTTAGTTCCTGCTGCTTTTCTTCATATCCTTGTTCTTCTCCTTCTTCCTTTTCTCTTCTTTCTTCACAACCCATTCAAAATATATAAAAATGTGAAACCTGTTCTTAGCTCACAGGTAATGCAAAATAGGCATAGGCTGAATCTGACCCCTGAGCCATAGTGGTTTTTCGCTGACGCTTGATTTAAACAGACAACTCTTTAAAGAATTTTTGTTGTATTTGAAGAGAAGAGTAAGGGGGAAGAGGTGGCAAAATATTTTTTTTCTGCTTTTTTATGGTGGGAGAAATAACAGCATTTTTGCACATCATTGGGATTTAGCCAGTGGCAAAAGGGGGGGCAGTTTATAATGCAGGAATGATAGAATTGTTGGAACAATGTCCTTAAGTAGGTAAGAGGCAGTGGGGTCCAGGGTGCGTGTGAAGGGGGATAGCTCGGTGCTTGGCTGGTTAGTTTTTGGTAATTTTAAAACAAATTTTGAGTGTTTTTGAAGTGGTTTTTTTTTCCCTCTTTTATCTGTTATCATTTGCCTAGGATGAATGTAGAACAAGTAACTTTGGTGAGCAGTTTTAATTCCCAAATATTCTTTTTTAATAAACAATTTGAATACATTGTGAACATAAATTGAAATACTTTCAATAAGTAACAAAACCTTTTTCCCCTAAACTGAGAACATTTGATTATTGGATGGTTTATTATGTTTGTTTTGAAATTAAGATCACTTTCTTTTTTTTCCTTCAAAGTGCTGTGCATGGATGCAAAGATCAATTTTGATTCTAATTCAGCCTATCGCCAGAAGAAAATCTTTGACTTACAGGACTGGACCCAGGAAGATGAACGGGAGAAAGGTGCAGCTAAGGCAAATCTCAACTACATTGGCCTTGATGGAAATATAGGCTGTCTAGGTACCATGTATTGTTATGTTAAAGTTGGACTGGCTGAACTTAATTTATTTTCTTTGTGTTTGTTGTTTATACAAGTCATTTTCCCTCTTGACAGTAAATGGTGCTGGTTTGGCTATGGCCACAATGGATATAATAAAACTTCATGGAGGCACTCCAGCGAACTTTCTTGATGTTGGTGGTGGTGCCACAGTCCATCAAGTAACAGAAGCATTTAAGCTTATCACTTCAGATAAAAAGGTAAGGGCAGGGCTTATGTTTTAGAATTTGAATGACGAGAAGTAACTTGATTAATTAGTAGATCTGGTCATTACAGTAGTAGAGCATTAAATTTCAGAAGACCTAACTAGTTTAGAAAAAGTTACTGAAATCGATGCAATAAAAGTTAACTAGAAAAAAAGGTAAAATTTCCCACTGTAATTTAGAAAACAAGATGAAGATATATTAGATGGTATTAGGTAATACTATAAATGGTAGTGATCTGGTATGGGAGCCATTCCTGTGGAAAACTGCTGGAGATGGTAGTTGACCACAAAAGCCCAGAGATCTGGAAAATCTATAAAGCTACAAAGAAGAAAATTAAAATTACCTTTAATGCTGTCTAGAGATAATTTTTGTTACTATTGACTTGATCATTTTTTTGACTTCTTAATGCTTGTATATTACACACACACACACACACACACTCTCTCTCTCTCTCTCTCACATTCCCTGTCTTTCTCTCTTTCTGTTTACATATATATCTTTATAGAAACAACTTTATTAAGATATAATTCACATGCCATCTAGTTCACCCATTCATAAATATATATCTTTCAAAACACATAGTTTGAGTTTTCTGGCTAGCATATCTTGAACCACTTTTTGCATTCACTAAGGTGTTCTTCTAAAACACTCATTTTAATGTTTGCATAAATCTTTCATATGTAGATAGGCCATAAGTTAGAACTATGATTTTATAAGTGATTATCAGAATACAAGGGATGTGAAGCATCATGATCCAAAAGATGCACAATATTATCAATCATTTTTTAAAAATATTTTATTTATTTATTTGACAGACACAGAGAGAGGGAACACAAGCAGGGGGAGTGGGAGAGGGAGAAGCAGGCTTCCCGACGAGCAGGGAGCCCGATGCGGGCTCGATCCCAGGACCCTGGGATCATGACCTGAGCCAAAGGCAGACGCTTAATGACTGAGCCACCCAGGCACCCCAATTATCAATCATTTTTTAAAGAAGTATATCTACTATGTGGCCATTGCGAGTTTTGTAAGACTTACGGAAAAATAAGATAGTGGCTTCTGTGGAACTAGTTTTACTGAATTCAGAACTGAGAATTCCTCATTGGTAAGGAGCATTTCTTACTCACTGTTGCCTCTTCCTGTGGCTGGCATAGTGCTCAGTGCATACAGAGGTCATTAATAAGTATTTATTATGGATGCTGCTGACAATGTACCTTTTTACTTATGATGTTAGACTCTAGAATTTTTAAAAAATCTGTTTTACCACTTTTTGAGCCTCTAGAATTATTTGCCATGTTTTGTTTTACAAAAAGCATTGAACTGAAATGAGAAATAAAAGTGCTTTATTTTCCTAGTTTAATAACTATTCAGAAAATAAACAAATCTTACTGGAACTATATTTCTATAGCTTTTTTTGGCATAAGCTCTAAAAGCAGAGTATTAGCTAATTATTTAACTGTTGAGTACTTACTAAGGTGAACTAGAATTCTAATTATTTTTCTAAGTATGGCTTTTAGGGTCTAGGTACAAGAATGGAGAAAAGCATATGAAGAATTTCCATGTTGTGGACTGACAGGAAGGGCATTGGAGTTGGAAACAGGCCAGGAACCCTTGGAGACAACATGGATAGCATTGAAGTAGCTGTATACTTATTATGTCTCTTTGTGTTGGACACTGTACTTGGATTTGGGAATACATGGTTACTTGGCTCAAGGCATTTATAGTCTGACTGGGATGGTAAACTAAATGTAGTATTGTGGGAGAACAGAAGTCAGAGCTGGTAACAAGTAGGAGAATCAGGGAGGCCTTCACTGAATGAACGATTTCTTGAGAAATTGAGTGAGTTAGGCAAGAGGAAGAAAATATACAAAGATATGTAGATTCCAGGGACGCCTGGGTGGCTCAGTTGGTTAAGCGTCTGCCTTCAGTTCAGGTCATGATCCCAGGGTCCTGGCATCGAGTGCTGCATCGGGCTCCCTGCTCAGCGGGGAGCCTGCTTGTCCCTCTGCCTGCCGCTCCCTCTTCTTGTGCACTCTCTCTTTTTCTATCTCTGATAAATAAATAAAATTTTAAAAAAAGATACATAGAGTCCAAAAAAGACCACTGTGTTTATGGAATGGTAAGATGCTTATGTGTAAGAATACAGCATTATTGGAATGAATGATTAATGTTGGCAAATTGAGACATTGTAAAGATCTCTATCTGTAGTTAGGGCGTTTGGATTTTAACTTCCTTACCCTAGTCCATACAAAGGGATATATATATATAAATATATCCCTTACCTTTTTGTTTATTGTTTATTTATTATTTAACTTATTTTTTTTTAAAGATTTTATTTATTTATTTGACAGAAAGAGACAGCGAGAGAGGGAACACAAGCAGGGGGAGTGGGAGAGGGAGAAGCAGGCTTCCCGCTGAGCAGGGAGCCCGATGTGAGGCTTGATCCCAGGACCCTGGGATCATGACCTGAGCCGAAGGCAGACGCTTAACGACTGAGCCACCCAGGCGCCCCCTTATTTAACATTTTTAAAAAAGAAGATAACTGTTAATAGAGGATGAAATGGAGAGGAGGGAGGCACTGGCAGGAGAGATAATTCAGTTGTTATACCTCCTTGTGCAAAAATATGAAGAGGTCCCTGACAAAGGTAGTGTCAATAAGAATAAAGCAAAGAAACCCAATTTAAAGGCATGTCTGAGATAGAATCATTAAATTCACTTTTTCCTTTTTGTTGGGAGGCCATGGAGAAGGGTTGGTTAGGTTAACAGTAGGACTTTTGTTTGGGGAGAATCATTGGGTGGCAGTGCCTTTTGTGTAGTCTGAGGCAAAGTAGAGAAATAGGTGTTTCTGACTGAATGTGTTAAGCTTGGATTGTGGTGACTGTCTAGCAGGTGATTATAAGGACACTATACTTCTTGTAATGGTTGGATGTATATTAAGGAAGTCCTCAGTACTTTGAGAAAAGTTGAAGTGTTAGGAGTTGGTAAGATGACCCATGTGAGTGAGAGGCTGAAACCAAGAATGTGAACCCCTGCCACCCCCAGAGCTGAAGGATTGAATAGAGAAGGAAGACCCAATAAAAGAGAGAAAGAACAAACTGATAGTTGGAGAGTAGGAGAGAGCAATGACATCCAAGGCCAAGGTAGAGAGTTTTGAGAAGTAAGGGATAGGCAGCAGTGTCCATCTGTAGGAGTGATCAGGTAGAGTAAGGACTGAATTAATGATTGGGAACCCTAGCAAGAACAATAGGGGGAGAAGGGGGCAGAGACCAGGTTATAATGGGTTCAACTGTGATCAGGAATTGAGGGAGTAGAGACTTTCAGGAGAGATTATCCTTTCAGGGTATTTTTTCTTCCTTCCTTCCTTCCTACCTTCCTTCCTTCCTTCCTTCCTTTATTTGAGAGAGAGCATGTGTGCGTGAGCATGAGTCGGGGGAGGGGCAGAGGGAGAGGGGGAAGCAGACCCCCTGCTGAGTGTGGAGCCCACCCTACAGGGCTCCGTCCCAGGACCCTGAGATCATGACCTGAGCCAAAGTCAGTGGCTTTAATGACTGAGCCACCCAGGGTACACCCTGTCCCCAGGGTACAGAAGGACATAGAGGACATAGTGGTAGCAGTCGAATGGAGGTGGGGTTGAGGAGAGCTGTTTAGTGTCTGTTTGCTTTCTTGTTTGTTTAGAAGACCAAGAATATGAGCTGTATCTAGCTAGAGAGAGAGAAGAGATTTGAGGATGAAGAAGAAAGTGAGTTTAGCTAACGGAGTGAAGACCTGGAGGAGATATGTTGTAATGAGGTGGTGAGATTGTTTTAGAGAGGAGGTTAACTCCTTCCTTGAGGTATCATTGGAGAAAGGGAGATCACATCTAAAAATTAGAGAGCTTGAAGTGGGATAGGAGGCTTATGGAGAAAGTGAGAGGTACGAGGCCGACCACTAAAGAAAGGATTGTTGATGAAGAGTCATTATTGTACTGTTCTTTAGGTTATGCTAATGTTTCAGGGTTGTTGTTGTTTTAAACTTTTTAGGTCTTCCTTGAAGTTGGAATGAGTAAACTGATTGACTGGAATCATCCAGGAGTGCATTATTTGAAGGGATGGCAGAGGCAGACTGGTCTTGAGAGGAATGGGCATGGAGGAATTAAGCATGCAGGTGACAGTATCATTGGAATGCTGAGCCACAGGTTGCAGGCTTTGGTGAAGAAAACCTGATCTGCTGAGAGTCTGGGAGATTAGATCAAGGTTGAGAGACTAGAAGCTTTTAAGAGGAAAAGACTGGGTTTGATGGAGTTGGAGGTGAGAGGCAAAAGGAGAGGAGGTTGAGCAGAGAGTGGGATTTATACACTCGATATTCTAGAAACATTCATTCTGGTCAAGTCAAGGATTTAGCCTTGGTGATCGTTAGTTGAAAGAACTGGAGGTAAAAGTGACATGGTAGAGATCCAGTAACTTTAAGGCTAGAGTGTTGGATGATGCCTGTGGTACATATCAAAGCTATCCAGAATGAGGTGGGATGGAGGAAGAGAGGAGGGTGCATGCCAGGGTCATTGTGAATTCTAGTCTATTTTTTCATTTCTTAAAGGTCTAGAAATACTATTGGTAAAGATAAGGAATGCATAGTATAGTTCAGTGTGTTTCAACCTTTTTAATGTCTTATCATTCACAGAAAATGGTATTTCAATGGGGTATAGAAGGTAGATGGAGAAGGTTGCTTATAGTCAGAGGCCACTGGCCCAGAGGTGCTAGCTGTCCCAGAACCTTCCTAGCTGCCCTTTGGGTAGAGGGTAACAGTATCTTGGTATTTCTGTAACACATTTATATTTCACTAGTTGGAAGCTCTGGTGAATGAACTAATAAGACTCTTTTTAAAAAAAAGATTTTTGGGGGGGAAATGATAGAAGAACAGTGATTCAGATTCATCAGTGATGATGTAAGAATGCTGATCCAAACAGGCCTTGAGGTTTGGATGTGAAGTGTAGCTAGGAATGGGTATTCAGGAGAAGCTGAGTGATTTTGAAGTTCTGCTTTGTGTGAGAATTTGGTTGAGATGATGGGGATAAATGAAGAAGGAATGATAGGTGGTGAACATTAAATTGGAGATCTTGCATGTAATGTTCTCTTATATCATGATCTGGGGCAGTCGTGTTGGTGAATGGCTATGTTTAATAGAAAACAAGTAAATGGAATCAGGGAATCTTGTTCATATGGGCTAGGAGAGAAGAGACTATGAGCCAGGTGTTGAAATCACCCAAGTTGGGGAGAATGAGTTCTGGTGGGTGGTGGACTGCATAAACTTTAGTGATGAGAGCTGAGAGAATGTGATGGTCTGGCCGGAAAATATTACCATGGAATTAATTTGTATCATAAGGCACAGACACTAGTATTTTCTTGAGAAGGAAGGAGACATACTCCTTGCTTTTAGATTTTAATCTACAAAAACCGTTTTATTCACAGGTACTGGCTATTCTGGTCAACATTTTTGGAGGAATCATGCGGTGTGATGTTATTGCACAGGGTATAGTTATGGCTGTAAAGGATTTGGAAATTAAAATACCTATTGTGGTACGGTTACAAGGTGAGTGTAAAAGGTATCTTGCAATTGTTCCATGAACTCTGTTTAAAAAAAATAAAATACAGTTTTCAAATAGCTTTATCTTTTAAATGAAAATGTTATGTAATAGGAAATTTTTAAAATGGGGGTTTAAAAAATACTTCTCACATCGGGGCAAAATTATGGGTTTTGCTTGGTATATAATTTAGTATGTTATTTATTTGTTGTGCTTTGTTTTAAATTCTGACTTACCTGAGTTACCATTGACATGGTAAGGCAAGATATTTCCTGAGGTAACTCCAGACTTTTACAGTATTTTCTTTGGTTTTAGAAGCATTTATGTTAAATGATGGAAGTACTCCTATGTTGAAATTTCATATTGTGACCAACATTTTAAATGATTTTGTGCATATATTTAAAACACCTTTATATTTGCATAAATCATTTCCAGGTACAAGAGTTGATGATGCTAAGGCACTGATAACAGACAGTGGACTTAAAATTCTTGCTTGTGATGACTTGGATGAAGCTGCTAAAATGGTAAACAGGCTATGTTAATCTAAGGATAACTTTGCAAAGTGTGTAAGATGGGTGATAGGTATAAGGGGTTCAGTGCTCCTAATATTTAGCAGAAACACTCATTATTGGCAATATTAGCTGGTGCATTTTAGAATATAAGTTAGTTTCATTTATTTTTATTTTTTTAAAAGATTTATTTGAGAGAGAGAGTACGAGTAGGGGGCAGCAGAAGGACAAGCAGACTCCCTGCTGAGCAGGGAGCCTGATGTGGGGCTCAATCCCAGGACCCTGAAATCGGGACCTGAACTGAAGTCAGGCACTTAACCTACTGAACCACCCAGGCACCCCTCATTTATTTATTTTTAAAGGAATTTTTGTTTTATATAAATATTACATGGTTAAAGCAAGGTATATTCAGAGAATCTAGGTTTTATACTTACTCCTGTTTCTTCCTTCCCCACACATAACCAACCAGTTTTTCAAAGAAGTTTTTAGTTCATCCTTTCACTTTTTTAAAATAATAAGCAAATAATATATGTGTGTGCGTGTGTGTGTGTATATACACACATACATATACATACATATATATATATACATACATATATATATGTATATATATCTATCTCTCTGGTTTCTCACATTGTGTGAGGATAACCTATATTTTACCTAATTTCTTTTACTTAATAATCTGTCTTGGAGCACATTCCATAGTAGACATAGAGGTGTTTTTAAGTGAGAACTTTCGATTCTTTCCTACCGTTGTTTATGGTCATTTCATGGAATACTCTGGGGCTGTATGGTTTAATCAGCAGTAGGCTTTTGAGATTTGCTGAGTTAATGTGATACCATTTCATAAAAATAATAAAGGTCTTATGTCCTTCTTTGGGACATACTTTGGGAAAGTACTTACTAGTAAATAAAAATCAGCTGCACTTTAGTGACAGATTTATACTCGATCCTGAGTTTATTTTTTAATTTATTTTTTTAAAGATTTTTATTTGACAGAGAGAGACACAGCGAGAGAGGGAGCACAAGCAGGGGGAGTGGGAGAGGGAGAAGCAGGCTTCCTGCTGAGCAGGGAGCCCGACCTGACCCGTGGGGCTCCATCCCAGGACCCCGGGATCTGACCTGAGCCAAAGGCAGATGCTTAACCTGCTGAGCCACCCATGTGCCCCTCAGTCCTGAGTTTAAATTAAGATTTTGGGCGAGGGAATGGTAGAGCAAAAGTGCTTTGTGGACATGGAAAAAAAGTAGAAGAATCAATCAAATCTTGATCAAGTAGACCATGAAAGATACAAGTGAACAGTTGATTTAAATTGTGACTGCAGGGCGCCTGGGTGGCTCAGTCGTTAAGCGACTGCCTTCGGCTCAGGTCATGATCCCAGGATCCTGGAATCGAGCCCCGCATCGGGCTCCCTGCTCGGCGGGAAGCCTGCTTCTCCCTCTCCCACTCCCCCTGCTTGTGTTCCTGCTCTCGCTATCTCTCTCTGTCAAATAAATAAATAAAATCTTAAAAAAAAAAAAAAAGATTCTAAATTGTGACTGCAGTGTTTTTCTACTGACTGTGAGGTTATGGAAGTTCTGACAATATTAATAATAATATGATAGTAGCAACTGCTGCCACTTCTTATTTATTGTGCATGCAATGCTAAGTTTTTTTTCAGGTATTATGTCATTATATTTGATTACATAATTTCTGTTTTTATAGATGTGGAAACAGAGGCTAAATAAATTAAGTTATTCATCAAGATGACATGTCATAAACATCAGAGTGGGATTTGAACCCAGGGTGCCTAACTTTGAAACCTTTTCTTAACTACTCTCCTGGGCAGGAGAGAAGCTGAATTTGTGTTTGGTGTTAGACATGTTTAATTTTAATCTTTTGTGTGGTTCCAGCTGGTTATCCTCACACAGATTATAGATACAGCATTGGAATTCAACTTGACAAAAAGTGAAATACTAACTTCTAGACCCAAGCTCCTATCCTGATATTGCAAGTTAAGATTGTATACATACTATTAAACAGACTTCGATTAGACGTGCTTTGCATTGTGTGCAAAAAAAGGCACTGTTTCTGCCTTTAAAACAGATAAAATTGAGGCAGTAAAAAAGAGGTGTGTGTATGTGTGTGTGTGTGTGTGTGTGTGTGTGTATGAAATCAGAAGGTATTGAACTGAGGCGTGAGTTATGAAGAGTCTCAGATTTGACAATCTTTCAAGAGTGGCAAATGCTTGTGTGAGTGTGAAGTGATTTATAACAATGTCAGTATAGCCCAGATGTTTTAAGTGAGAAAGATTGAATGTGCATTAATTTCACATTTACTGGTAGTTCTGATTTTATGGTTTCATGGAAATAAGGGACAAAGATGCTTTGTTTTTTCCTTTCAGGTTGTAAAACTCTCTGAAATTGTGACCTTAGCCAAGCAAGCCCAGGTGGATGTGAAATTTCAGTTGCCAATCTGATCGGAGAACCTAGTGGATGGCTGAAGGTGTTAAATGTGCTATAATCATTAAAAATCCTGTGTTCTGTATTATTATTGTTCCTTTTCTCTTCAGTGTGTGGAGATTGTAATTGCCAGCTAGACACAAAAACTTTCAAAAGTATTTGGTCTGCATTTAATTCTGCTGTTCAGAGTGGGCTGTTTGTATAAAGAATGTATAATGCAGTGATCTAGTTTCTTTTATTGCAGCTTTCTTTTTCACTTCTATAGAATGTCACTTGCAATATGCCAGTTTATTGTTAGATTCAACATTCTTCGTTGATAAGAGTCCTATGAATAAAATAAATATGAAGATAAAGCTTTATTCTTTAGTGTTCGAAATACATTATATCTAATAACTAGCCTCATTAGTAGAGCAATGTATTAAAACAATGTTTTATATAAGAAGTGTTTATCTTCAACACCAAATACCTATCTAAATATATCAATTACTATTTATAAAAAGAGCTTTCAGACAGACACTCCTCAGAATATTCTTTTAAGTATGTCAGTGAAGTAACTTGTTATTTGAACATTGTTTTAATCATTATAAAACACTGATTACTGTAAGTCTTCTTGATCCTGTGGTATTGATAAAAACTGGTAGGTTTGTATCAGATAAAGGTATATTCACTAAGGACTTGGCAGACAAAATTAACAATGTCAATTTGTTAATAAAAATCTCCCAATGTGACTCGGATTAATGTTTTTTCTTTTTTAAGTAAACACAGTGGATGGTGATGTGTTCATCATTGCACTAAATATCTTCAGGGAACCGATTTGTAGATCATGTACTGGGGCCATGACATTACGTATTATGGAGCTACCTATAGATACTTCCCTTGAATTCTGATGTTTATGTGTGTACGTTCTGGTACCTTCTTTAAAAAAAAAAAAACATGTTTTCCTTTGTGTCCCTCTGTGTGTGTGTGTGTGTATGTATGTGTGTATTAATCTTTTGTTCACTACTCAGAACAGTTGATATTTAACTATTAACAGTGTTAATACCATGGAAGGAAATACCAGCCAGGTGGTAGGCTATGTAACCATACTGATGAATATGAGAACTTTTACCTATTTTGATGTTCTTAATGTGTGATCAGATATATATACTATGACGGGTCGCATAGCATAGTGATTATGAGCACAGAATTTGAAAGCGGGTCTGTCTGGTTTGAATCTTCACTCTACTACTTACTATCTGTATGAGTTTGGACAAGTTTTTAAATTTCAGTGTATCTGTTTCCTTAGCTCCTTTCTCATCTTGACTAGAATTATATGGTGGGGAGAGGGAGATAGAGAAGGACAGCAGGTGATGGAGGGGGAGGAGGAAAGAGGAAGAGAGACATTCTATAAAGAGAATATATAAAATATATATTTAAACCAACTATACATATATCATTATCTAACTATCAATCTGCCCTTCCTGCTCATATATTAAAATACCAACTATACATATATCATTATCTAACTATCAATCTGCCCTTCCTGCTCATATATTAAAATACTAAATTAGAGTCATTAAGCCATTGAAAATTGTGATAAAGTTATAATTAAAAGTCCAAGCCTTTGGCTTTTGATTAAAAAAAAAAAAATTCCAAAAATTGCCAGCCAATGATGAACTCAGAAAAGATCGGCATTTTGTATTAGTTGGGGTCTAGTCAGGAATTTAAAACAATGCTTGGTATTTTGGGGAGGATAAAATACAGGCTATGGGTAATAGTGGTGTTTCAGTTACCTATTCTTGCATACTAGATTACCCTAAAACTAGGTGATTTTCAAACAACATTATCTCACAGTTTCTGTGGGTCAGAAATTTGGAAGCAGTTTAGGCAGGTGGTGGTTTTGGTGCCACAGTCATTTGGAGGCTTGACTAGGGCTGGAGGACCTACTTCCAAGATGGCGCTCTCATACGGCTGTTGGCCCAAAGCCTCAGTTTCTCCCCATGTGGGCCTGTTGACAGGGCTGCTTGAATATCCTTGTGACATGTCAGCTGGCTTCCCCCAGAGCCAGTGATCCAAGGGAACGAGGGAGGAGTGGCATTGCCTTTTTTGTTCTCATTTCATTGTCACTTCTGCCACGCTCTTTGTTAGACGTGACTCACCGAGTCCAGGCCGCAAGAGAGGGGAATTCAGCTCCATTCTTGAAGGGAGAAGTATCAGAGTTTGTTGACATATTTTAAAACCATCACAACTCATGTTTGGAAACTGAAAGAGCAAACTGGATGCTGAGTTAACTCAGAGATTAGTAACTGCTAAGACTGAGGTAGTAGGGAGAATCTGGGAGCTGGGAGGACTTCCGTTGCTTACAGCCCTGAGGAGGAGCGTGCCTTGGCTTCAGTGGTGGGCCCAGGAAAACTACAAGGACATTTATCAGGGAAGGCAAGGAAAGAATGTTTCAAGGTTAGAGTGATCAATGGTGTCGAATACAGATAAGTCAAGAAACATAAGGACCAAAAAGTGTTTAGTGGAATTGAAACAGGACGTAACAACTTGGTAAGAGTGATGGTGGTGTAGCTGTGGGCAGGAAGTGGGAGTTCTGTGGAGAATGGAGAGTGAAAACAACCTCCTCCTGGCCACTTAGACACCCTCCCACTGCAGCCCCCAAGCATCCATTCGCCCTTGAATATTCTTTTTACAGGCTTGATACTTCTGTCCCTACAGCCCTGCCTGCTTCCTGGGGGGGGCGGGGAGCCTACTTTAACATTTGAATTCTCTCCCTTACAGTTGAATAAATCCATCTGAACAACTCCACTTTCTGCATAGAATATAACCAATTTTGACTATGATAACAGCTTGCACAAGAACCCAGGACACCAAGCCTGATAGATATTCATACTTTGTACCAGATGGGGTTTTAGAAAAACCACACGTTAAGGGGGAAAACATGTAAAAACAAAAACAGGGAGGTAGGGAAGAAAGAAAAGAAAGAAGAAGGAAGGAAGGAAAGCAGGAATGAAGGCAAGCAGGCAGGTTGTACAACCCCAGCAACCCCAGCAGGACATTGAAGCTTTTAATGTTTTTTAAATACTTTGGTGAGTTTTTCTGTCTGGTGATGAATTCTATTTAAAGAAGTTTTAAGAGCGTGGGCATAAATGTTAGCAGGCTGGGGGGCAGGTGTGCTATAATTACAGTCATGTTCTTTTGTCCTGTTGGAAGGGGGTGAGATAGGACCTGTGGAAAAATCGGTTTTCAGATTTGTGTGATTTATTGTGTGGTAGTAAAAAATCGAAATAAGATTTAGAGGTTTACACTATAAAATGAGGAAAGGCAAAAGGTTGGTAAATCAGTTTTTGTCTAAAATGTGATTTAAAACGAAGAGGTGAAAGTGAAGGGATAAAATAGTAATTATTTAGGTGACAGCTGGAGAGAGGACTGGAGGAGGGAGGGCTGTGCTGAGCCAGAGGGACTTGAGATAATAAAGCTACAGTGTCCTCGAGTGCCAGGGTTTTGCCCCCCTGTCTGAAAGTTCTCAGCATTGAAGCTATGGCAGTCTTTGTTCTCTTTTTCAAAAATCTTGCTCTGTCAGCTTCTTTTTCCACTTTGAGGAAATTTGAGTATCTTTGTTATTCATGACTTTGTTTCACAAGGAGATAAGACTATGAACAACTTCTGTTTCTTCACAAGTAACCAGCTTCTATTTTTCATTTCTTCCAATCTTGTGTGTGTACATTGTTGTTTTCCTGTGTATTGCCTCCTCTTCATGGTTAGTGGGGAGGGAGGCCCGCCATGCGTGCCACCCCCACTTGCCTTCCTTCACTTGATAACTCTCACTGGTTGTGCAGTCAGCAGCAAACTTCGTCCGTAAGCAGCCATCCTGGGACATGAAACTGGAAGGGCTGAGCCACGAGGATCCAGCTGGTTACTTCCCAAAGGAGTTTGGTTTGCCCGCCGCATCACCTCCTCTGTCATTACATCGTTACTGTTTTCATGCCTTTGCCTTTAGCCTTTATGTTCCCTACACGAATAGGCAGATATGTGAGGACTCTTGGACTTCACCTTACCCTGTCCATTAGGCAGAATAATGGCCCCTTCACAGATATCCACACCTAATCCTTGGAAGCTATGCATATGTCACATTACATAGAAAAGGGACTTTGCAGATGTGATTAAGGCTATGTGGACCTTAAAATAGGGAGATTATCCTGGATTATCCCCATACGCCTTTTTTGGGCTTCTATAACAAAATACTGTAGACTGGGTGGCTTATAAGCAACAGAAATTTATTTCTCACAGTTCTGGAGGCTGGGAAGCCTACGATCTCAAGGCACTGGCAGATTCAGTGTCTGGTGAGAGCCTGCTTCCTGGTGGATAGGCGATGCCTTCTCACTATGTCCTCACCTGGTAGAAGGAGCTAGGGAGCTCTATGAGGTCTCTTATAAGAGCACTAATCCCATTCGTGAGGGTTCCACCCTCTAGATCTGAGCATCTCCCAAAGGCCCCACCTCCTGATATTATCCACGTCAGGCATCAGGTTTCAGTGTAGGAATTTTGGAGGGACAAATAGTGTTATAGCAAGGCCCAATCTAATCATATGAATCCTTAAAAGCAGAGAGCGTTCTCCAACTGGAGGCAAGAGAGAGGTGGCTAAAGGGGAAGTTGAGAGGTTCCCACAGGAGAATTCAATATACAATTACTGCTTCTGAGGTGTAGGAGTCCGTGTGCAAGGACTACAGAGAGGCCTTTAACTGAGGGCAGCCCCCAGCTGACAGGCAGCAAGGAAATGGAGATCTCAGTCATACAGCCAAAAGGAATTGGATGTTGCTAACAATTGGAAGTGGTTTCTTTCCAGATGACCAGAGAAACCAGACAAGCCTATCTGGACTTCTGATCCACAGAACTGTGAGATAATAAATTTGTGTTGTTCTAGGTGCTAAGTTGGTGGTAATTTGTTATATCAGCAATAGGAAACTTAATATACTAACATCCATACTACTGTATATTAGTTATAAAAGCCAAACTGAGGTCTCTCAAACTGAGGTGAAGGGCCATTTTGTAAAAATTGGATATTTAAAATTTTCTAATCAGTAATGGACTAATTCTTTTATAAAATACAATCAAGACAATTACAAGAAATGATTTTTTTAAAAAAGCATACAAAATATGAGCTCCAATTTTATTTTTATTCAACAGCATAAAACTTCAAATTGCTGTAAGAGTTTCTAGATGCTTACTCTTTATCTGCTTATCTCTTGCGGATTTGTGAACTGTGGATCGGATCAGCATCAGTCCACAGATTACATTTTGAGTAGGACTGAGAAAAGCTCCATTACATCCAATTGTGAGGATGTGAACATAAAAATTGGAAGTAGGATGTAAACAAACATCTAGTGTTGAGAGGCTCAGCATTGAATCGTTTCTAGTCAATATGATGGTACTCACAGCTTTGTAAATTTGGGAAGCAATTGCCATCAATCAGCAAAGCCACAGACTGCTGTGTGTCCCGGAGTCCAGTCAGTGCTAATCCAGAAAATCAGTTGAGCAAATTGGGGTATGCAGGGAGAGGGCCAGGGGTGGTCTGAGCTTCATGTCTGGTTTGTATGTTGCTAATTTGCACACTAACATCATCAATGTCTTTGGTAGGAGTTGACTGATGACTAGTTGAGACCTTGCAGTCCTGCAGTTCAGGGTGACAGTTCCAGGGTGACGGGATAGACGTTTCATAATAAGGAAACTAGAGACAAACCTAGAATGG